GGTAATCAAACCCAGTCTCAAACAATCACTCACCCCTAGTAACGGATTTTTTTCGCTTTCCATTACTTCAAATATTAAATTGTAGAACCATTTCTTAAATTTAGCTCTCAAGACAATATTTGCTAATGATTGTTGTGTCATTCCTCCAGAGAATGATAGAGTGACCATACTTTCGTTCAAAACTGGCTTATCATCAGTATCCAACAGTCCTTCTTAAATCAGTGATACTCATAACATTGCATGTAGCTCCTGAGTCTAGTTTTAGTTTATATGTATTTTTAAAACTTTCTATTGACTTGCATTTTGACAAAAGGTTGTTTTTTGTAAGTAGGTCTATCAGTTTCTTTCATATGCATGACATCCTCTTGAGAAGTAGAATGCTGATCTTGGTTTTCTTCGTCCTCAATATGTACTGTCGTTTTGCTTTTACACACACTACCTACTAAAAAGGTTTCTTTTTTGGCAACTGGAACAGATCTTACCATAAGCCAGACAAGCCCCTCTTTTGTGAAATTTTCCACAGTATCGACAAGATTGACCTTTTTCATGTTATTGATGTTTTGTAATCTTAAAAGAAGTTCCTTCGATTCCTGGAGAGGTGCTTTACATATGTTTCTGTATTTTCATGCTGCAAACAAATTTCCATTGCATCATTTAGCTTCAAGTTTTTCTTCAGCAATAGACGTTTCCGAAGTTCATTGTTTTCTAGGCCTATGACAAGACGGTCACATATTAATGTCTCTTCTAACTCGTTTTTATTTAAACTTGACAAACCATCAATACCACAACTTTATTTAATAAGGAATTTGTCGTTCCTACTACAAAATATGAATCCAATGCTTCTATGATACCAGCAAGATCTGTATTGTTGGTATCTACATGTTTTTCAATCAATTTAAGGCCCTCTTTACCTATCAATGTGTTGAACATAGCCAGTTTGAGTCTTGGTGTACTTAGCCTTGTGCCACATACTGCTCCTGCCTCTGCTAGTACCAGGGTAGTTTTCCCATTGCTTCTTTAATACTCTCAATTAATTCTTCCTTGGCTGAGGCTGTATTGCTAATATCAAGAGGTGCGTTTACAATCCATTCTCACAAGTTATTCTGACAGCATGTTAACTATTTAAGAAATAATTGTAAACACTTTAGTAAAACCTTTGACTTTTGGAAAACTAATGTATTGACTTTTTAGAATGATTCACAACATAGCAACCACGAACATAAACAATAATAATAATCAGCTGCTACAAATCCATATACAAATCCCAAAGTACCCATGAACTTTTGAGAAAACTACAAGTCACACCCCCATAAACCATATACTTAAAATGTTCTTCATGACATTGCGCAAAACCTTCCATTATTTCAAAAATTGCCCTTTAAGGTCGTAATTCCTTTCTAAAGGTAACTTTCCATATAGGCTACCTAATGTTAAAAATACCTCAGCTGTACTTACTTGTATGTTATTCTTTCAATTTATTAAAATCAGGTGTGATTATTTTTGTCTGTATTACTGTATTCTGTTTTGTTTATTTCAGTTTAACTTAACCAATCAATAGTTTTTTATTAATACTTATGATGTCAAACGGGGTGAAGCTCGTGGGTAAGTAATATTAAATTCAACATAATAGGGCTACAACAGATTCATCATAAACTAAACATTTCCCTTGCAAATTTATATTTTTATGAATTAGCAGAATACTGTTTTAAATAACGTATTTATGTTTTGTGGCACTGGTTGTGATGTCATCCTATTGTTAACTTTATAACTTACTAGCTGTAACCCGCGGGCTTTGCCCCGTTTAACTTCTTAATTTTCAAGATGATCTCGTTTGCATGGCTCAATCACGTCCTGGTTGGAGTTCGTTCGCTACGCTCACTCACCTTTAGGTTGGAGCTCGTTCGCTACGCTCACTCACCTTTAGGTTGGAGCTCGTTCGCTGCGCTCACTTTCCTTCAGGTTAGCTCGTTCGCTACGCTCACTTGCCTTCAGGTTGAAGTTCGTTTGCTACGCTCACTTGCCTTCAGGTTGAAGTTCGTTCGCTACGCTCACTCACCTTTTGGTTGCGAATTAGCTGTTGTCATAAATGTAAAAGAAATAATAGTGCTGCACCCTGTTGGTAATCCTTGTAACTTTAATGCTATTGAACATCATATAGACAAAAAGAATTATTTAATTCTTTTTGTCTATGACATCATAGAACAGAACCAACTTGTTTAATTGAAACAGCTGTTAAGATTCATTAATTCCATTTCTCATAAGGTTAACATGGGAAACTCCAGAGCCACTGGGGCGGAGCCCGGAAGGATTTTTGGGATAAAAATATGCCTATATGTTAATCGGGAATATGAGCTATCATCATGCCGAATTTCAGCCCGATCCCACCAGTATTTTTTGCGTTCACTTGTCACAAACATACATCCATCCATACATCCATACATCTAAACTTTCACATTTATAATATTAGTAAGATTATCATCTCTTTAGTTTAAACAGAATGATACTGTATTTGCAAACTCTATTGCTTTACTTCTGGAACTCTAACTAAAGAGGTAAGCCCATACTGTGAAATTTATCCTAAATAAAAAAATAAAAATATTCAACATAAGCACTCTCAAGAAGGATTATAGTAGGCATAAACAAACCTTGAAATTAATTCTTTTCTGCCGATAATTGAAAAACACTTCAAATTCAAAACTATTCACTTGCAGTATACAAGGTCAATAGTTAGTTTTAAGCTACAAATAAACATAATTAATAGGACGTAACGTTTGCTAACAAAATAAAACACAAAATATTTTGAAACAATTGTACTTAAAATATCTATTTACATTACATAAAGCTGATATAATATATAACAATATAGAAGATATTATCACCTTGAATTATTTTGTAACTAAAAAGTGAAACTCTTTCAAACTAATTCACTGTCTCTTAAAAGTAATTAGGTTAATACAGTCATGTCGTCATTTGGAAAGACGTGTAACAATCTAAGTTATTCACAGGCTCAGCACCAGCAATCCTTAGTGTTAATTTTACATGAATTCAATAAAATCTGAAAAGAATAAAAATAATAAATCTTTGAATGAAGCTTAAACAAAGATTTAGCTAGTAAAATCATTTTTTGTCTACTCAGATTGTAAAATAGTTTATTTCATCACTAGGGTGTAAAGTGACTCTTTTCGACCCGAGCTCAAGTTTTTCCTTGGTTGAGAACATACCAGCAACCCTCAGATTTGAAGGCTAGCTCTGACTTCTCGGCTACCCAGACACTATAGACATCCCAGAAACAAAAGAACCCTGGGCCATTTCAAGCCGCGCAGGTTGGAAGGGTACGCCACACCTACTGGTGCGAACAACAAGATCTTTTCGTTTCTGCGCAGGTCGTTTTGTTCTTGGGATGTCTAAATAATTTATTGGTATCACATGTTAGTGAATAAGGTGCAAACAGCGTTTTAAAGGAAATTTCCTATTTTAAGGGTTGGAGAGCTTTATAAAATTTAAAACAAATAGTGATTAACCTTCAAAGTACATAAAAAATGAACTGCTGGTGCGAATTCAAAGAAAATTAAGCATATGTGTATCCCATTATTATTAGACTGGGAGTATAGTGTTATCTCCTTGTTAATGCACACTAACTGTAGTGTTCTCACAATTGATCAGTCCAAGTGTGCAAACATAGATAAACATTTAACCAGATTCCTTAATCTGTTGTAACACATTATTTTACATGGAAAATAATACAAAGACAGGAATGTGGTAATGAAACATTAGATTATGTGAGTTGTTTGTACTTGCAGTACTTTGTCAAATATGTCGGCCTTAGTCATTAATAAGACTACAAGATCGCACCACTCATCCTACACTCATCTCCATTCATACTTGGCTTAAGATAGGTACCAAGATACCTACTTTGTATGGTCACCATTTCATTCAAAAGTATTTAAGCAAAGTATTAAAGTAAATGAAAATCATACAACTCTAGTAAAGCATGGTTTACTCTACAAACGACCATTACTACATAATTTCAAGCTTAATAATTTTAAAAGGGATATTCACTACTGATATCAAGTTCTATTATGTATTACCTTAAATGTTCTGCTGAAAACTCACAAAATATATCCACAAACCCTTTTTAGGGCTTCATCACACAACATGGACTGCCCTTGTAATTATTATGAAAAAACATTCCATATTATTCATAAATGTGTATTTTTAAGTACCGGTAATTTTGAATATTTGAGTTGCATGGATCAAAAATGCAAATGAAAATTAATAAATCTGAAACTCTGCCTCTTGTTATTGATTTTGTGGGACTAAACAATTTTTTTAACAATGACAACAAAATGTAAACCCTCAGTTTTAGGGGTTCAACAGTTTAACATAGTTTTTTAGGTAGTTTAGTTGCGTTAGACATTTAAATAATACATTTCAACTACATTTAGCCTACATTTAATAATCAACCCAAGCATTATATGGAAAACGTATGGTCTGTTCACAATACTCGTATTATTGTATTTTCATTTTCTATACACTCTATATGATATTGATAATAATGTAAAATGCAAATAGAATAACCAACCTGTATTATGGGATCTTTTTACAAATCACAAATCGAGTCCTAGATAAATTCTACAAGAGTGGACAAGTATATATACATTAACTTTTATTAGTTTTGCTTTGATAAAAGCATTTATGTGTACAGGATGCTACTGTAAAAAAACTCAGACAGACAAGGTTTTTGTTACTGTAATATCTTTTTCTAAAAGATCGTGGTCACAATGTAGTCTTGATTTTTTTATCTTAATTCACTACTTAGTATGGAAGTGCATTCGGAATAAAACTCATGTTAATATAAATTATTATAAACATGATCATTCAAATGTACTGCACCGATTTAACTACAAAATAAATACTTTTTAATAACACCTTGAGCAATTCAAAAATTCTCTCAAGGTAGCTCATTTAAGGTTAGCTCATCCTGTGTCTTTGTTTTACAGTTATCTCCCGTAGGAGACGCTGTAGCCCATGTTGATCATCAGTGTGTCGCGCAGTGCAGGGTGAAGCTGTTTCTCCAGGTAGGTCGTCAACAAAGGTTGAATGCCTCTTAGAAACACATCTTCCATCTCTCTACCCATATCCAGCTCATCTTCATCCTACATTCAAATAACAACTCTTTGTTACAAGTCAGTATTAAAATGAAATGAGGAGTGTGATTTGAAATTGATTGAGAAATCTACTTACAGTAATCACAGTCAATGCTATAGTGCTCTTTGAGCAACTGACAATGTTCGAATCTAATAAAGATTTCTCTCTTTCAAAATGTCTGGGAATGTATCTTAAAAAAACAACAATAAATTTAGGTTGAATGATTCTATACCAACTCAACAGAGTGCTTAATTTAATGTGGATGAGAAGTGTTTAATGACAGACGACAGCTTTGTTGCTGACTAAGATCAAACCCAATGATCAAGGACAGCTGACCCAGTTTCAAAATATCAAAAAGCTTCCAGTTCCGCCTTTTCTCATACAGTCAGTGTGCAATGCAATACAGTCTGCTAGTTCAATGCAGAAATAAGATCTTATAGTATGGGGTATTTGGTATGGGGAGTGAGGTGGGCTAGTGTTAGAGCGTGAGAATTCGGTCCCTGAGGTCTTAGGTTAAATCCCACCAAATCACCGTCAAGTGATACCAAATCACTCGTATCTCTGCAACCCCTAGGTTTAGCTTGAAATAATCTGAAAAACGATTCTGGGTCTTAGAAAAATAAAATGGGGGTTTCATCTAATAGGCCTATTTCATTGTATTTTGAAACAGGAGGGCCAATTGTCACCAATAAGCTCTATACGCTCCAGATTGTTGAAGGGTAATATTTCAGGGTAACCTAAACAAAAAATCCATATGACATACCTGAAGTCTCCGTTCAAGCAGGTCTGGGTTGTCACATCCATAAGCGTGAACACTGACAAACTGAGGGTCTAGGAATGTTGCTGTTGTACTAACAGATAGACCTCCGCCTTCCCTTTGCTGTGGTACCTAACAGACACAAAGATGACAGTTTCAGTAAAAAATATTATAAGGGATGCAATGGTGATAACAAAAAACCATTTAGCTTAAATTTAGTGATCCAGACCTCACTATGAAAAAAGGAGAAAATCAAATTTTTATAGCAGCATACTTTGGGAGTGGCTCATTCAACTATGTTATATTAAATAATAAAAAAAAATTGAAACTGCCCTTCCATATGGATAGGATGTCTAGTTCAGTATCAATTAGAAATGCTGTTACTAAGGTATATACAGAAAGTTGTTTCAGAAGAGTTCATCGATTGAATCATAATCAGTTAACATTTTTGTTATAAGCACATCAGTCAGTTGATTACCACAGTGAAGCCGATGCCAGCCTTGCGCAGTCGCACCATCATCTGACATCTTTCAGCAGGAGTCGCTATCTTGGGGTTGTGGAGTGTGTCGGCCTCATTGTACAGCTTCACTGCTCCTGGCAATCAAGAATACTTAGTTGCAGATTCAACAATTGTTCATCTCTAATAGGTAACCTTTGAATTGACCCTTATAAGACTTTTAAATAGTCTGTTACATTTTAGCTCCAGGATTATGTGCGAGCGGGAGCCAAACACAAGAACATTAAGTTTAACACAAGAGGTAAAGCCAAATACAGGAATGGACAAAGGGCTGGAAAATTAACAGTACTTTTAATCACTTTGCGAAACACTCTTGTAGAAAATATTATACCTTGAAGAAGGTTACCCACATTACAATTCCCAAACAACATATTTAGTAAGACGTGCTAACTTAGATTGGAAAATTACAATGTATTGGGATGAAGGAAAAGCAATCAGGAACAAGAGAAAATCAGCGGATTCATTTTCTCTTGCGAGTTACCTCATTTTCTAAAAATGAGAGGTCTGCTACAGTGCAGCAGCTATAATTGCTCATGTTTTGCAACAGATTCCTAAGTGCTGCCTCCTAGCTGGAGAAATAGCACCTCTTGAACCTCTAGGCCATTTATCACACATAACCTACCACATGCAACACTGGTAATACAAAAACAAAAGCCAAGTGTATTGTTGTATACGACTCTCAGGCTGCAACAGACTTTCAGTTATACTCGCATAGTCGCATAGATAGTTGAAAAAGAAAGTTCAGTAATTTTCTCGGGGGAGCGATCTGGTCTAGTGGTTCAAATCCCGCCACATCACCAATGGATTTTATTTAAGTGATAATGCCGCAACCCCTAGGTCTAGCCTGAAGTAATGTGAAAAACAATCCCGGGCTCGTGCCTAGCGTCCTAGGACAAAAAAAATCTAATCTTGCTCCAGTATATCATCTTTTGGACACTCTCTTCTCTCTACTGTGCAATGATGTTTCTATTACCTGACACTGACAAGTCCTTGAACACCAGTCTGGCCTGCAGTACAGCCTGGCTAGGGTTGTAGCGACAGTTGTCTATACGAGCCCAGTGGCTGGGGTGCGTGGGCATCCTAACCTTCATATCTGTCACGTACATCTCATATGGAGCAGTCCTTAGAGGTTGGTGCAGAGCATAACCTGTAAAAGTATATGAAAATTCTTAACATTTCTTTGTTTGAAAGATCATGACTTTTATTACGTTCCATGGCATTATTGTGATAACTATTTTGTACCATTATAATATCAACCCTTTTTAAGTACCTGGGATTATTTATTGATGTAACCATTCCTGCTTCTAAAATTTTTTTTCTTTTTATGAACATACAAATTAATATTCTTGTATAAACCCGGTTTTTGTGAACACACACACACATAGACAAGCTAAAATCTTGAACCTATTCAAGATGAAACGGAAGCTAGCCAAACTGTTTTACTCCTATAAAACTTTTTTTATGGACATAGCAAGAGACATTTAAACGTTTAGCATACCTTTCCAAATCCAGATTGGTTAATGCGTTTGATCTAAAAAAATACCCATCCCTTAGTTATCTGTACCTATAATGTGCAAATAGACACTTGGCTGCACCCCAGGGAACCATTAACGGGCCATCACTCCTAAATCAGCTGTTACAAATGGTTAAGTTTTGTTTTGAATGAGAGTTCGGCCGCTTAGAAAGCGACCTCCTCTAGCATTGGTTTAGCATTAGCGCGCAGGTCGTTTTCTAAGCGGCCGAACTATAGTTATATTATTGGCGTTATAGCATTATGAGCAAAATCTCTTTTACATCTGGAAGGTAGTTTTTCAGAGACCCTAATAGTAACTACACACCAGGTAATTACACACCTGACAGATCGAGCGTGTGTGAAGAACCAGAGGAAGACCTCCGAGTAGAGATTCCTCCGAGTGCAGACTCGAGACGGAACGTGCACGGGTCATGATGACTCACCACCTTGGTCAATGGCTCGCTCACTATGCGCACTTCTGGAAACACAACTGTGCAAGCTAGTTACAGCATTGACTTTTGGGTACTAACGTAGACATCCCATCTATATGGACAAGCCAATATTTTATTCAAATACTACACAGTTGAAGTAGCCCTCCACTCATAGGGTGTGGTGTATTATTACAGGGTAAAATTATATTTTATTCCTTAATACATGTTGCCCTATAGTTGATGTGATGCAAAAGATTATTCGGTATAGCCTTTCAATTTTGCTTGGCAAAAATTGGCGAATTTGACCGAAATCAGCATGGTTTTTATCCCACTGTGTCCATATCTCAATTCAACTACGTTTATTTCATTCTAAAACTATATTTATAGCAAGAACTTTAAGATGTGAACGGTATTTCTTGTATAGTCATATAACTGTCAGTGTTTATGCATGGTAAATTTGATTTTTAATTTTGTCTTCAAACCATGCTAGTGGTCTTTATACTTCTAGAACTTCCAGCCCAAAAAGTAAAAACATAAACTCCTAACCCAAATTTTAGTGAGAAAAATTGCTCTAAAAACCACTTGACACATATTGCTCTGATTTTCACACTCATTCAACAGTTGAAATTAAATGCCAACAGGACACTTTCATGACAATACAGAAAACCATCTATCGTGAAATCCGTGGATTATGTTGTTTTTGTTTACCTGCTTTATTTTAAGTTTTAAGTTGATAAGTTAAGTAAATGAGAGTTTAAGTTTGTTATCAACTTTCTTTCTTTCAAAGTTTACAAATGTACATAATTTTCCTAGTAAGCAAATAAACAAAACAAAATGCAAACCATAGCTGTCTAAAGACATTGCAGTAGGAACTCCATCTCTTAATTAATTAAATAAACATTCGATACAACAATATTTGTGTGGTATATGAAATTTATGCGAGTTTCTATTAACCATTAATAAAGAGTGTTTTAGAGACTTGATAAACCATCTCAATGAATATTTTTGTTAATTGCATATCTTCCTGAGGTTTACCTGTTGGGTTTTCAGAAGAAGTAGTGTCATTCTGGCCATGAGAGCGAGCCAACAAAACTAGGAACAGCAGCAGCAAAAACCACTCGGACCCATCCATCTGAAAATAATTCATTGTTGCTTAAAACATAAATATATGGCCAGGGTTTTAATTCGGCCAATTATAAAAACGAGGTGAAACCCGTCGAAATCAACGGTTACTTTCAAGGCTTACGTTAATTCATCCAACTGCGATAAATTGGGTGAAATATACATATTTTGAGCATTTAGCATTGTTTAAAGAGTAATAAGTGTAAAAAAATAATGATATTAATTGCGTTAGTTGCCAAATTTGGTTGATCATTCAATGAATGAAATATTCCCCATACTGTACGTCATCGGAGTTATTATTAGTATGTTATATGATATCTCTTCCTTTGGAAGAACCTTTAAATAGTATTATAATCGTATTGATGGGTCTTTTGTAGCTAAACACTTCTGTGATTTCATCAGTGTAATATGATTTTATTTGAAAAGAAAATATTTTTTAGGAAGACACATTCTAACTTCAAAGGAAGGTATATCCGTTACAGTGTAAGTTTGATTTTTCCTTCGTCACGTCGCGTCAGTTCATATCGTACTTCTGTGCCAATAAATGAACCCTCTAGCATAGTTTTAAGAAATTGATTGTGGGGTTACTATTAAAGTTGGAATTCCTTGACATGGGGGATGTCAGTTAGTTGTCTCAGCCTTATCAATGACATAAATTTGTCAAAATAGTCTCTCTACGGAATGTTAGGTGTAGTGGAATACTTGAAGTGAAGTTGGTTTTTATTCTTGAACTGTTAGGGTCCTCCTCATTTATATGGTCTTGGCGGCTTCATTGGCAACAAATAATGCAAATGACATAGCAATGGGACATTTGAAAAAGCAATAATACTGTAAATTGGCTGTTACGTATATATTGACGTTTACATATTGGTAATCAACGACCAACGTATCTTATAAAGGATTATGTGATCTAGTTTAAAAGGAATATGACCTTTCTGTCATAACAGTAGCTGCTTAAATCGTATTTTCTCTTTGTACCATATTTTACAGCCAAAATGTAGTGTTATTTTCAATAATGTTACCAACCAAGTGCGCCAAAGTCCGTAATATAGGCAGGTGCAAATAATTTGTCAAGATGGGTCCCCCATTTTAGGCAAGGTTTCTATGTTTGGATTGTATTAGACATGATAAGAGCAGATATTTCTACATAAATTTTTGATATGTGTAGAATAATATGATAAAGTGTAGGCAAAAGTGGTGAAAAAGGCAGACACCAACCCGTACAATAGATATAAGATAGTCCAATAAGAAATAATTTAAGAATTGCTGTGATAAAAGGATTTTCCACTGATTTCGTAATGGAACGTTATATTGCAAAACATGACATGATAAAGAGGAAACATAATTTTAAAATCAGAAAATAACATTGCAAATACTTATTTGGTACAATTCAGTAAGCCTAACTCCCAATAAATATGTGAAATACAATTTTAAAATGAACAGCTGTTTTATTAAAAAGTATTATTCACATGGCCAAAAATGTAAACAACTCTGTGGAGGGATCTTTAAAGGCTTCTGGGGCAGAGCCCTAAGGGATTTTGCTTATTTTTTCTTTTGATAACTCATCTACAGACCAAGACCTTTCTTTGGACACCTCTACCAAGTTTCTACGCCCAGCCGTTCTCTCAAATTAGTGGGGACAAAGTTTCTAATTAAATATTTAAATTCCCCCATGTTAATCTTATGGGAGAAACTCCAACTTTGATGGCCTGTGGGGCAAAGCCCGAGGACTTTTATTACCGGAATTGGTGAAAGGGGGCGTCTACACAAAAAATACTTTATTTTGACACGTCGTTTGTAAAAATCCGTCAATTAATTACGGAGGAGTAGTGTTTTGTAGAAATCGCCTTCACGTATTTTATATAAGGATACTGTACTCTGTAGATATTCTTTATAAACGGCTTCAGAAAACTTTACTCAACTTTTGATGAGAAAATTTGAAAGTGGTTCAGAAGTTGACAACACTATTTGACTATTTCCAGCAAAACATGTTCAAAAGGTTCAAAACACAAAATCATATGTTATTTTTTGATATTGAAATCAAAATAACAATTTAAGGGCACCATAACATGTTTTAATAGCCCAGCACATTTTGGAACAGTTTAAAGTTTAAATAAAGCTAACCAGAACTCAACCATGTATAGTACAACAAGGCCATATTTCACTGACTAAAATGATTTATTGAGAACTAGCTGTGTACCCGTTCTACGCACGGGGATCTTATAATATTCAGTTGAAACCTTCTTATATAAAGAACAGCAGTTGGTTTGCATATTTTAAGATATGCTGGCCAAACTATTATACATAGCTTCATTTTATGTTGTTTTTTGTTGTTCCGGATCGGTAAGACAATCAATAAAAGGTTAAATTACCTCTGTGTCTGCCGGTCGATCCTATAACGGTAGGCTTACTTTTATTTTTACTATCTGATCTCGTTTGCATGGCTCAATCACGTCCTGGTTGAAGTTCGTTCGCTACGCTCACTCACCTGTATGTTGGAGCTCGTTCGCTGCGCTCACTTTCCTTCAGGTTAGCTCGTTCGCTACGCTCACTTGCCTTCAGGTTAGCTCGTTCGCTACGCTCACTCGCCTCCAGGTTGCAAATTAGCTGTTGTCATAAATGTAAAAGAAATAATAGTGCTAGTGCTGCACCCTGTTGGTAATCCTTGTAACTTTAATGCTATTGAACATCACAGAACAGAACCAACTTGTTTAATTGAAACAGCTGTTAAGATTCAATAATTTCATTTCTCATAAGGTTAACATGGGCTTCCAGAAATTCCACGTCAAAAATCGACAAAAACTTGATTTTCAAGGGTTTACTGTTAAATATCTAACTGTCTCATATTCGATGAAATACGTCTAAAACCATCTCATATATGTATAGTATTTGGAAAATAAGTTTCAGGCGGGACAGTGCTATAGTTATTGAGGAGTAGTTGTAATAAAGTGCGTATTTTAGCGTTACCAAGAGAATGACAGATAGACAGACAGACAGACAGACAGACAGACAGACAGAAATTGAGATAAGGTTTGATTCGGTTTCTCTGACCTATGAAATGTAAAAATAACCAAAAAGTTCATTATTCTAAGCAATGTACAGACAAAACTCTAATTTTATTTATATAGATATACATTACTGATCAATGGATACCGTTTTACAGGAAATACACTTTGTACAGTTCGGCAGGAATTTTCTGCTTGGAACACCAGGATAATGACCTATTCAATACTGTTACATAACATTTTAATTGCTTCTATTGTCTTTCTTGTCTAGAGAGAGTTGTCTTCTGTATTTTCTCGCAGTGCGAGGGAAAGAAACATGGCTTATATTCCCAGCTCATTTGTGAGTTCAAAACATTTATTTAGACAGACTGTATATACTTTCCCTTCCCTCTCAAAAATGTAAAACAGTTAGTTTGGTTTTGTATCCATAAACATTTTTAGGCAGTAAAGGTATTCTTCAGTCAGGTTAATATAGGGATCATTTTTATGGTGGCTATTTAAATAATTTTACCATGATAAATTGTTAATAATTATGATAAAATGAAGGACATGTAAATGAACACCTTTTCTCCTTAGTCCTGGTTTTATAACTTGGTAAAGCATAAACAATATTTCTGATCAATTTACTCTAAAACAAGAGAGAAACATTCAGTTGGGCCAGACATTGACAGACATTACAAATTTTGTCAACTTTCAAAATACAAAACAGGCTTCAGATTCTTAGATAAGCCGAAAAATATATTGCAGAATTCAAAGACAACGATAATAAGGTTTCAGTTGTTTTTTTAGTTTCAGATGCAACACCAACAGTTTTACTTTCTCCCCCTATACCATAGTATGGAGAAAGTAGTATTCGTCAAAATTTTCAAGTTTCAGTTTTGAGTGGAGTCCTCCTGAACCCAAAAAAGTGGTTTTCAAAGTGATACCTGTGTGTGTGTGTGTGTGTGTGTGTGTGTGTCTGTCTGTCTGTATGTGTGGATGTGTACATAGCTACTGACCACACCTGTAGTCCGATTTTGATTAAATTTGGTATGTGGAATCCATGGTATCTCCAGGCCTTTTTTCATTTTTTTCATTTTGATTTTTAATTTTTTCTCATAAAAACCTATAAATTAACGGAAAAGCCAAATTTTATCAAAAATGGCCGGAACGATTATGATCAAAATGTAGTAGGCTATTTTATAGTCATTTTTTCTGAACAAAATTGTACAAATCCCATTTCCGTAAAAATTGTATGTAATTTTCCCATGAAACACCCATAAAATAACAAAAAAATCTGATTTTAGAAAAAACCCATTTTGATTAAGATTAATGTTTTATTGTCCTTAAAATTCTAAACAAAAAGCAACCACCCATTGCTGAAACAATTACGGTTCAAAAGATATATTGTAAACTTTGTGATTTTCCTTATAAAATATAATAGTTGTTATTCACACCGCACCGCTTACCAAAGATGGTTGTTGACAAGCTAATGGTAGAAAGTACGTTTTTGTGCCAGATTACTAATACTGTTTATTTTGACTGTGCACAAATGCATAAAATTTGTAAAAGTGTGTTTTCATTAGCTTTTTATATACGACCTTAGTTTCTAGATATGCCTTACTGATTCCCCAACCCAACTGTTCTCAGTTACAGAAGAGGTTTGATTAAAATAATCTACTTACTAAAAAAACTATATTCAATCTTTAAAGGAAATCATTAGGCCCTAGCTTACAATCTATTTGTTCTATAGAAAGATAGACAATTGGAAAGACGATTGAAAAATGCAGGGGGCGGAATTTATGTCAACAAAATGAAGATTTCAAAGCATAAGGTTCTTTCCTAACCTCGACGTATTTGATCTCTTGTGTTATGGAACCCGTCTGTCCTGCGTACGTCCCAATGTTTTGTATCCTCTCACATAACGAACCGTGGCTAAAGGATTGTCACTTCCACTTCCCGAAGTAACCAAGGTCATTGTCAACATCGATATCGCTTACGCCACAGAAAACATACGTTCGCCACCTTTGGACTGCCGTATCGCCCCGTATCCGCCACCTTCTTCACGTTTAGTTCGTTTTAGCTAGGCTACTTTCTACATAACGGAATTGTTGTTTTGATATGGAGATGCTTCCTTTGCGGATTACAAATTTGTACCAAGATACCACAACTGCGATCAAATTAACAAATTAAGTAGGTCTATAGAACAGAACTTAATTTGTAGGCTACAGAAAAATTGAAATTGGTACACACGTCTTAATAACCATCCAAACATTTGAAAAAACAACCTTGGTAAGTTTGGCTGGAATACCGATGTGCAGCCGTTATTGAGATTTTAAGTGTAATAAAGATTGCATTAAAGTTGATCCCAAGGAGCTTCGCTTTGCTCCGCTCAATAAAATATTGTTTATTTTTCGTCATAACGCACAAGGAAACAAACATCACCAAAATAGTTTTTATGTGGTTTTGCCGTTCATCACTAAAGTTTGTAAAAGCTAGAATCGATTTATCCATAACTTAACATTTTATATGCCTGGCATTTTAGCGAATTTACCTATAGGGAAGTAGCTATTACCGTAGGTGGCATGGTACGATCTAGACCCGGGACCGATTTAATTTAATTTGTCATTTTGATGTCCCCAGAGGCCAAAAACGCTATTCTTTGAAATTTGTATAGGCAGCTATATTCATATGCTAGGCGGCCGTTTGAATTTTTATAACTCAAAAAACTCATAAATGGCTAATTCTATGACAAAATGTAAAGGATACTTTTTTTACATTTTTAATTCCTTACCAAACAATACCAAGATCAAAAAGATCAGACGACAAATAACTGAAATAGAAAGTTTTTTTGTTGGGAGATCAGGCAAAATTAGGTGTTCCCCCAATAACTTTGCCTTATTTTTACACCAAAAACGTTATATTTAAGTTATTTGTCGTCCGATCTTTTTGATCTTGGTATTGTTTGATAGGAAGTTAAAAATCCCAAAAAATACCGTATTCTATTTGTTATAGAATTAGCCGTTTTTGAGTTATTTAAGTTATACAAATTCAAACGGCCGCCATTTTGAAATTTACAATCGGACCAACTTAATTATTTTTTCTATAGTAGGTCTTGTGTATGTTAACATGCTTGCCAAATTTCATAATCATCGAATGTAAAACTTCACAGATAAAAATATTTTTGTATAAAAAACAAAATGGCGGATATCTGGATAAATATGCATTTTCGGACATACCTTCACATAAACATTTTTCTTCCTTTTAATATGAGAATTCATTTCCCAAAGTCCTGAAACGTTTTTTATGGACACCCTGTATACAGGTAGGGTTATACTGTATACAGGGTCAGGCAAGTCTGGAATCCCCCAGTTAACTTTGTAACGCGTTGCAGTAGGAAAACCAAACTCGGCAGTCGGCACATATTTACGGTGTCCTCCTGATTGCGAACAGTCCTGATTGCGAACAGTCCAGACTGCGAACATGTTTGGGTCTACGAGGTGGAGGGGGTCGTCCGTGGGGTGGGGAGGATTCCTGATTGCGAACACATTTTGAGTGGTTGGGGTTTTCAACCCTTTCATATAACCCTTTCATAAACCCTTAACAGAATGATTTAGCCTAAATCACAACTTAAGACTGGTAATATACATAATGGAAAGGATGAATGTTCTTGAAGACATATATCTTTATGAGACGTAGTATAATTAGGTGGTAAAGCCCCTTATTAACAGACAGATTCTTCCAGACTCACAAATTCGTTCTGATAATAGGTATTTAAATTGGCTGTTTATTTAAAATTAATTATAATATGTTTGACTTGAACAAGCAACTACTAAACAATCTCAGAGTAAAGGAAATAAAACAATCATTTCATATGAACTAGGGTACCTGTTGCTCGAAATCGAGCAACTGTCAAGTGCAGGTATTATAGGTACAGAAGTTATTTTAAAACTACAGTAATAACAGTAATAATTTTCGATGAGTTTAAAAGACCCGACTAAATGCTTATGTGACTAATTGTAATACCCACGCTATTAAATAGCTCTTTGATATAATAAAGGCTTCTTGTATTTTAGAATTTTTTGGACCCGGCCTTATTTTTTAGTGTTTTCTACAAATGTTTCCCGACTTAAAGCTTTTAACCAGTAAACATTTCTTGCATGTATTTATTTGTTCGGACTTTAGGTAGGTTTACTTTATCACTGTGACAACATCTGTTGTATATTCTTCATGTTTTTAAGTTGCTTAGCATAACTGACAAAAATGATTCATCTCCCCAAGTGAGTGTGTACCTGGATTCCTTACTGTGAGACCAGGCCTCTCCTCTACTCTTCTTATTCGTATAAGATTTCCTATTAATTGTCTCCTCCTCCTGTTTTCAACATTTCTCCTTTAAACTCAAGAAATTGTCTGTTCTTCCAACAAAACTGATTGACTGTTTAGATTTGTCTATTACCTCATAAATATTACAAACATCAATATTTACTCCCAAAAAGCTGGTGAGTTTCTTTTTATATACAGTTGTTTTTGTTTTTAAATTTGCTTTCAATGTAATTCTTATGGGGAAGATGCGACCTTTGATAGCGTCTCGTGCCCTTAAGGGTAAGAGTTTTTTAAGTTCTAAAACGTTTATGCAATACTACAAATTGAGACGAATTATTTGACACCTCAAACGTTAAAATCGGTCCAGAAATAACGGAGGAGTTTTGTTCACAAAAATAGCCTCACATATTAATATAAGAGAAACTGACTATAATTAGCCGAAATATCATGCATTTGCCAATATCACATTCCAAACTCAATCATTACCTAAAAAAACATCGTCAACGAGCAATTTAAATAGCAACTAAAATAAATACCATACTTACATACATCTTACATCCGAAATAACATGTATATGCATTACACATTACAACATAAATCATTCAATCACATTCCCAACTCAACAAGCAATTAAATCTCACGTTCAACAACAGCTACTAAACCATCTTTACAGATTCAAAAATATTTGTTCGCAGTCTGGACGACTCATGTTCAGGTAGTCCACAGCATTTTTGAGGTGTTCGCAGTCTGGACGATTTTACCCTTGTTCGCAATCTGGACTGTTCGCAATCAGGACACAACCATATTTACAACATAAGAAATTGCACTTTTTCATCAAAGTTACAACTTTGCCCCAGCCCCCAAAATGGGGTATTTTGGGGACAGCCCCAAATTTTCAAATGTAAACACTGTCATGTGACCCCTCATTTTAAAGGGTTTCTCAAGACAAATTAATTGGCACAAACTAGAGGTCAATATCTCACCCCTAATCAAAATGGCAGTAATTTTGAAATTTCCCCTATTAACCTTTTATCAAGTTATAGGAGGAAAACTAAACTCAGCATACCTTTATAAAAGAGAGAATTCACCTTTTGGTTATGTATTAAAATATTAAATTTTTAAAGTTAACTGGGGGTGTCCAGACTTTATCTTGCTTGCTCATCTTAAATAATTAAAATGGCTGCCATTTTGATTAGGGGTGCGATATTGACCTCTGGTTTGCACCATTCAATTTCTCTTTAAACACCCTTTAAAATGAGGGGTCACATGATAGGTGTTTACATTTGAACATTTGGGGCTGCCCCCAAAATACCCCATTTTGGGGGCTGGGGCAAAGTTGTAACTTTGATGAAAAAGTGCAATTTCTTATGTTGTAAATATGTACCGAGTTTGGTTTTCCTACTGCAACACGTTAAAAAGTTAACTGGGGGTTCCAGACTTTCCAGACGCCTAACCCTATGTATGATAAAATAAAAGGATTAAGCTGGGTTTTCCTAGACGCGGAGTCGGCCAGCGGAGAGCGGACAACGGAGAGCGGAATTGCAATTAACATGGCATTCCGCTCCACTGCTAGGAAAACAGTAACATTAAATTACCTAAGACAAGCTGAGTCCGCTCTCCGTTGTCCGCTCTCCGCTGGCCGACTCCGCGTCTAGGAAAACCCAGCTTTACCTTATCCAACCACAGTTGCTGGGTATGACAACTAGTTTCGTTCCATAGAACTTCGTCAGGTCATTGTATGCAACCACATCATCAATGTATTAACATTGTGGTTTGTCAAAAGATTCTTTAAAACACTGTCAGAATCACAATAGTAAAAACTAGTCATGTTGATTAAATTATTAAAATGGAATAAAAAGTGATAAAACTGGTTAAAACTGTAAAGGCTGGCCAGCACTGTCTTATCACTGTCACTGACTAAATAAAACATATATATGTGTCCGTAGCGTGATAACTCGAGTAATTTTTGTCCGATTTTGATCAAATTTGGTTCAAAGGTGTAAGGTGGGAAAAACTTGAATGAGTTCGCGAACCAGCATGATCGGGCCATGGGAACGGTGATGGGTTTTATGGGGTAAACATTGGTTTTTCTCATTTTGGACCCTCAAAACACAAAATTTCCCAATTTTCTAGACCTTTTTAAAGAGCTTAAAAAGCCAAAAAATTAGTATAGGCCTCAAAGTGTTTAGTGTGGTTATTGGTAACGGAGAACATTCAAAAAATTTTAAATTAAAAATTCATATGTTATTATTATGGAGAATATTCTAAAATTATGTAGTTTGCTTGTACATAATATATTTTGATCAAACTTGGCAAAATTTTTTTTTTTCTAGGCTATTACATTTTACTAAAAACCACACTTTATTAGTTTTCTTGTGACAGCAAACCTAGGTACTCGTTAAACCCAATGTCATTTAAATAGGATTAATTAAATCAATTAAGATAAATGGAAATTCACTTAGTCGGCAGGTTTGCTGCGGCGGGGGTATTTATCCTAAAAAGGGAATACGAATTCGCGATTGGTAACACGAAAATCAATAAGAAAAAAGTAAAAATTCTAAACAAAGATTTATACATGTCATGGAAGTACTTTAGCAAACAATAAAACAAATTTGTATTAATTCTTCTAAACTCCTGAATGATAATAAGTTAGTTCAAGAAAGAGTTTTTCCTTACCTGTGATGGAACTATACAAAGATTCTTGATTTGTTCACTGGTCGATCGTACAGCACAAACTGAACTGAACACTGAGCTAGAAACGAGAGAGAAACTTCCATTGTTGTCCCGTGCATATGCTTCTTCTTCTCACAGGTTTCGCTACTGTAGTTTATCTAACAATGTTTGGTAAAATCTATAACATGTAAAATAAAAATGTATTAAACTTTAAATTATATATTTCTCAAACCTGCAATCTGTTTTCCGTTGCATACGTGTCAATGTAGGCCTACACGTTTTTTTTAAGTATTCTGCATTATTAGCGGTTTGTTTTGGTTGGTAAAAGGGCATGCATTATTTATACAAACCATGGATACAAGCATTAGGTTTTATCTATGATACGCTATTTAAAAATACAAATAAGTAATCCAATAGCGTCCAAATATCGTTTGACTTCAGTTTAATGTTTTAATTTCCAATGCAGTGGCATAGTTTTTATAAGATTTGTATTTTCAGCCAAGTTAGACATTACACGTTTATGCCTAACTACAACTATAGCCTCCAAAGTTCGTAAGTAGTTGCCTAATTGAAAACGTAATCCAACCTATTAAATTGTCAATTATCAAAGTCAAATAAAAGAATAGTCAATTCCAGTACAACATTTCAACCACTATTTATTTACTCATCTTACAATATTATTAAAAACATGTGACATTTAATCTTCACAAATAAGTTATAGCACCAATATAAAGATTAATCAATGGTCATACATATACAGGGTGACAAAAAAATCTGGAAACGGTTTAATATCTTTTTAACTAAATTCGTTAGAAAATTCAAACCTTTCACATCAACTTATATGTATGAAAACTACTTTTTGCAATCGTTGACATTATTTGACCTTCACCAGGGGACGGCCCCACGAGGAGTAGGTACATTATCTTTAAAGTAAGCATAGGTTGATATGCACATCATTTTAAAGGTCTAGTTAAGTGGAGTTCATTACCGGAAACCGCGTCAAAAAAGGTTCATCCGTTACAAAATGGCGGCAGTTCAAAGTTCTTGCGGAATATACCTGCAGAGGCCTTAGTATTGGTAAATACTCATAGTCAACATTAGTAGGGAAATCTGAAACCCGGTTAAATTTGTTTTGAAGATTGAATACTATTAGTCTATGAACTAGTTGACTTTAAAAAACAGTTTAAGCTCTCAAGCTAATGTTTAATACGAGTATTTGCCCATACTAAGGCCTGTGCAGGTATATTTCACAAGAACTTTGGACAGCTGCCATTTTGTAACGGATGAACCTTTTTGGACGCGGTTTCCGGCAATGAACTCCACTTGACTAACCCTTTAAAATGGTGTGCATATCAACCTATGCTTACAATTAAGATTATGTACCATCTCCTCATGGGTCGTCCCCTGGTAGAGGTAAAAAAATTACAATGCTTGGAAAAAGTAGTTTTCATACATGTAAGTTGATGTGAAAGGTTTGAATTTTCTAACGGATTTAGTCAAAAAGATATTAAACCGTTTCCAGACTTTTTTGTCACCCTGTATATGAAATTAGTCATTAACACAACCACTCAAAGTAAAAATGTTTGAATACGTTTAATCCATAAACATCCACGTCCTTACATACAAATAAATTGACCATACACACTTCTATCTACGGTTTAACCTTAACCGTGTGTTCTGGGGAGAGATAGTGGTCACCAAATAACGCTCTTTCCAACTGAGACATGACCAACAACTAACTGCTAACTGTTGACTGTTTCTTATGGGACGCCGGAATTTTACCCCCTGGTTTGTGGCGCCAGTTTTGCCCAGGGGGTAAAATTCCAGGGGGATAATAATCCACCCCGATATTTGATGAGCAGTTAACACTTGTGAAACATTACTTTAGGAAAACAGGAACAGTGTCAGGAAGCAATAAAAGAGTTTACGTCCTATGGTACATAATTTTATATGCATTTTCTATGGTTAAATGCATGAAAGATGATATTATGCCCTTTGACCTGGATCCGAAGTTGGCGAAGAAGAAAGTGAAGAGGTTCCGGCCTGATTGGCGCTAACGCGGGAAACCGACAAGACAGAAGACAATAGCTTGATGGACATGATACTTGCGTTTAGGCGGGTAATGCGTCACGAGCACACAGGCCTGGTGCATGAAACTATTGAAACTACGCGATAATTAGTTATTCTGGCCAATTATACGCTATTCTGTGACTTCACAATTTAGAAATACGCTATTTGGTGGTAGCGTCAGTCCCATGTTCTGGTACAGCCAAGGACAGGTCGTAAAATATTGTGGCGAGTCAGGGTGGACAACCAGTCCGTGTACGAATCAATAGTAGTTTGCATGACATTACAACGTCTTTGTAGGTTACAAAATATATGAGTAAGTGCTGTGAGCGTACCATGCATAGGAATTCACCTGTTCCTCATTACATTACCGCCCACGGCGAGTTAAAAGTGATATTGGGGCAATGGAGGTCGAATATTTTTACCCGAAACTCCTCGTTGATGTAGAAGTCACCCCTTTTACTGGGATGGTGGTTCCTCTCGAATTTTGGTACAAGGTTATATATTGATAGTTTATTCATCATTGCCTCCAGGATTTATTATTGACAATAAAAATAAGTTAACATACCTTACGTCGTCAATCCTAAAATTATAATTTTAGCCATAGACTAGGCCTACCTCTTCAAAGGCCAGTCCTATTCTGTAATCTATTCCACTTTTTTATATAGTCTATGGCGACTAGTTTTGAAACATCAGTGGTTTCATTGTCGATTGTTGTCATTGTTTGTTAAAACTGTGTAACATCGGCGTACCATGGTGGAAGGAAAACATGTGTGATATCTTCCCGTCATATGCTGACGTCACCCAGATTGCAAACGCCATTTCACTATTTAGAAAAAAATAAAGAACAATAACAATCCAAACAAATACGGTATTTACTCAGGGGAGGTATAGAAGAGGCTACGATGACAGCTGTGGGCTTCTTATTAGCTGAGGGAACGCCATTACCGTAACAAAACGGTCGATGGCCATCGGCCTCGGTGGTCTAATGGTTAGCGTGCCGGGCTAATATGCTGTAGGACCCGGGTTCGAATCCTGCTGGTAACGTTAACTTTTTGTCCAAGATTTTTTTATTATCAGCTGGTTTGGTTGGTTCGGTTCGGTTATTACAGTTTAATTTTATTATTAAGTCATTATAAAATTTTAATTGAACAATTTCCAGTTTTATTTAATAAACAGAAATTAGACCCAAACAAATACTTGTCAGTTATGAGGTTATTTTAGGTTTGCTATCTGGGTGACATCAGCCTATGACGGGAGTAGCACACCTGTGTTTCTTCTTCCACCATGGGCGTGTACTGTACTCGTAAGTTGGAAAGTTGTACTATATTCACTGGTCAAACTGCATCACTGCATACAGCACGATATGGCACACATAATTATGGATGTGTGTCTTGTCTTGTATGTATTCATATAGTTATCCCGTTCTTGGGAGATCAATATCACCAACAATACAAGAAGGAAAGGAAAGTAAAGTACGACGCGGGCGACGTAAGCGAACGTGTAGATCTTTATTGCGTGACTTCTTCTCACTTGTTTCCGCTCTGTTCTAATTTCACTTTGATCCAGTACAAGAAATAACATCAACATGTAATATTTTGATATACATGTAGGAATGACCGAAGGAGTATTTAAAAGGCGTTTAGTTGCTTTCCACGTATTTGGGTCATTTGGATGGATATCAGAAATATATTTTTTTTTATTTGTCTATTCTAAATTCCTCAAGTTCTGTTTTAACTCGTCTTCAGTTCATTGAGTTGCCTTTTAAAGTGTGGTAGACGGTACCTGACAAAGTCGTCTAACTTTACGTTTTTCTCTATTGAGATGCATATTCTCTTTGGAGGATGATAGTAGTCGTTATGGAGTGGGATGTGAGGGTTTCAAGATAGCTTTTTGGCACACATTTTTAATGATTCTGTAAATATTTTAACAGAGTTTTCAATTTCAATGCAAGGTGATAATTTTGGCATATTACCTAAAGATTAATCCAATTCTATCTATACTAATATATAATACCCCCGCCGCAGCAAACCTGCAGACTAAGCGAATTTCAACTTGTCTGATTACATTTTTACTAAAATATTTCCATATATAAGACATATTTATTCTCAACTAGCTGTACCCGCGGGCTTCGCCCCGTTTAACTTCATAAGTATTCGCATGGCTCATTGACGTCCTGGTTGAAGTTCGTTCGATACGCTCACTCACCTTTAGGTTGGAGCTCGTTCGCTGCGCTCACTTGCCTTCAGGTTAGCTCTTTCGCTACGCTAACTCGCCTCCAGGTTAAAGTTCGTTCGCTACGCTCACTCACCTTTTGGTTGGAAATTAGCTGTTGTCATAAATTAAAAAAAAATTAATAGTGCTGCGCCCTGTTGGTAATCCTTGTAACTTTTATGCTATTGAACATCATAGAACAGAACCAACTTGTTTAATTGAAACAGCTGTTAAGATTCATTAATTCGTTTTAAATATGAAAAATCATAAGATTGACATGGGGAACTACAGAGCCACTGGGGCGGAGCCCGAAAGGGTTTTTGAGATAAGAATATGCTTTAATGTTAATAGGGAATGTGAGCTATCATCATGCCAAATTTCAGCCCAATCCGTCCAGTAGTTTATGCGTGATTGAGCAACAAACACACACACAAACATACACACAAACACACACACAAACTCACAAACTTTCAGATTTATAATATTAGTAAGATTTAAATAACATTTAGATTTAACGAGTGCTTAGGTTTGCTGCTACAGGGAAGGTAAAAAGCATTTTCGACCATAAGTCAATAGTATAGGATGAAATAAATAAATTTGCCAAATTTTATCAATATATATCCATAAACAAGTAAACCACAACAGTTTTCATTTTCTCCATAAGAATAACATGGGAATTTTAAATTTGCACTTTTTTGAATTTTCTCCGTAACCATTAGGCATACAACAATGCTTCAATAAACTAAATTATTTACTTTTTTAAGCTCTAC